TGTGTGTGTGTGTGTGTGTGTGTGAGAGAGAGTGAGTGTGTGTGTGTGTGTGTGTGTGTGTGTGTATGAGAGTATGTGACGTCAGACGTATCAAAGAGGCATCAATGATTTAGTGAAAGTGGTGTTTTGTGTTTTCATGCTCTGAATTCGAACTTTAAGCGCCTCTAGTTTGCTTTTGGCACAAAACGGCACAAACCTCACCATCATCTTCATCAGCTCATCGACAGCACTGACCTCACGCCTCTTCATCTTCTCCACATGCTCTTTAATAACCAGCTGTAAGCCTTGAACCAAATCCACGGCTCCGTGATGAATCTTTCATTTGAAGTAAAAAAGTATGAGAAAGCCAGAAAAACAAGACGAACATCATCAAATGCATTATTGAATGAGAAACTGCAATATAAAACTGAAACTGTAATTTCGATATCGTTTGTCCAAAATGATGGTTTGCTATTTCGTATGTTTTCTTTTTAATCGCTGTGCATGAATTGTCTGTTATGTTGAGATTTCGCAGCCAGTGACATTTGCAATAAAACATTTTAGATGCATGGAAAGTGTGCTTTTTAAACATTTTAAAAGCGTGACGTGCAGAAGTGAGATGCTGTGGAAGATATTTCACATTTCAAGCCAAGGCTTTCTTCTCAGGCTCCTGGTGTGACAACTTACCCCACTTTATGCTCATTAGCTTTCAGAATGTAACGTTTGAGTAAATACTGATTTCATAACTTGATTAACACACCTTATTCACAAAATATTCAGTGGAGTAAAAGAGTGAGACAACTAGCCCCGGTCTCCCCATCATGCATACAGACAGACAGACAGATTCCAGAATTTTGATCAAAATAATAATAATATTAACATTTTTGTTATTATTATTATATGAAATAATAATAATAATAATTAGATATGAAATAATAATAACTATAATTAATCATACTACTACTAATAATAAAATTATTATTATTATTATTATTTTATACATTATTATACATTATTAATCCATCCATAGTTGAACATTCATGTTCATCAGCGACATGGATTATTATTAAATATATTAAATAATATATTAAATAATAACAATAACAGTGATAATAATAATCCCTATTATTATTATTATTATTATTATATTTAATGCTGAATTATCATTATTATTATTATTATTTAATATTGAATTATTATGGCCATTATTATGTAATATCTAATTATTATTATTTTATACAATATTATATATCATTGATCCATCCATAGTTGAAAATTCATGGATTATTATTTAATATATTAAATAACATATAAATATATGTTTAATAAATATTATTTATATAATTATTAATAAATAATAAATATTTTTTTTATTATTATTAATAAATACTACATTCATATATTTATGTATTATATATTTATATAATTATAAATATTTATATAATTATATATATTATAAATATAATATATTAAATAACATATTGAATACTTATTCTTATTCTTATTATTGATCCATTCACAGCAAAGCATTCATGTTCAGCAGTAACATTGGTATCGCTCTCTGAACATTTCTCATTATAATGTGTGAATCTGCAGTTACAGGTTGTTTGAAAAGGATCTGAGAGCCAAATCATTTACACAAAGTCCTGCAGGATCCACAAAGAAACATCAGACCTGCTGCATACGCTTCATAATCCACACAGATGTGTCAAATAATCCAAACACGGAGTTTAAGCAGCTTAGAATGATGTTTTCAGCAGCAGAGGTCTGCATGCACAATCATGTTTGATCATGCATTACTGAAGAACTGTGAGTGAACAGCGCCACCTGCTGGTCTCTCTCACACACACACACACGCACACACACAAACACACTCATGTTTATCCATAAAAACAGAACAGATTTTCTTGTTTTAACATAAATCTAATATAATCTAAATATAAATATAATCTTAAAAAATATATAATCTTGATTTAAGGATGTTTAGATATTTGTTATGGATAACATGTCAAAAATACTGAGGACGATGCAACGTGCAACAACATTTCTAGGGCCTTAATTTGTGAATTGGCAAATTAAGACTTTCTGAGACCTTTTTAAGACAATTTTGGCTGCTTAACTCAAAAGTAGGATGATGTGCACTTGAAGGCAGCATGGCTCTCAACCTCAGAATTTTGCGCTGATATCAACATTCAGTACACGCATCTAAACTCAAGTTCAGAAATACATACATTGTTGCACTGATTACTTTGAATTCAAACATTTAAAATCAAGATGCAAATACTCAGATCAAACTTACCAAATGTATTGTTTGAAGAGAAGGTCAATTCATTCAGTCATGCAAAGTACAGCTCCTATTTGAAGAGAGAAAGACTGAAATCTCCAACTGTTTGCCAAGCATTTCAATTCAATTGCACATTTCAAAAGAACAATAAATCATGCAATATGATAGCATAGCTTCTGCTCAAATCAGGCATTATTTATCTCCTCCAGTAGATTTCCTCAATCTCTGGCACAGTGTATGAATAAAAATGGACAAGTTTATCCTAGGTGTTTAATAAAATGTGGTAATCACGTGACGTACTGACTTCGTCTCTCATCATCAATCCATTAGTTCTGGAGGAGTGAAATACTGCTGGCACCCTGTAAAGCTTGTGTAAGAGCGATTAAGATATGGTCAAATAAAAGTGTTTATGCTTCACTGGCTGCCCTTAGACATTAATTATGATGCATGACGATTCACATCATGAACCGTCTAATTGTACTATGAAATCACGCTGTAACTTGCAGAACTCGAAACTTCTTGTTAGTCCAAAAAGAGCTGCAAAACCCAGGTATATGAACACACGACTGCCCACATTGACATGTTAATCCATGCTCAGTAGACTGAAGCAGACGGGACACTAATACTGATAAACACTGAAAGCACTGTTACTTCAGATGTTGCACAAAAATATAGTTAAAAAAATAAATAAATCAGATCTCCAATTCAGTGTTATTTTAGTAATGTTTATATATTTATTTAAAAAAATAATTATTATTTATACTATTTAGTTTTTATTAATATTGTTAACCAGCTTTTGTTTATTTAGTAATTTAGTAAATTTTTTATATGATTTTGTCATTGTTTTGTTTTGTTTTTTTTATTAATTAATTAATTAATTTATTTATTTATTTATTTTCAGTTTTCATTCAATTGTAGTTGTTATTTATCTCAATTTGGTAATTTTAGTGCTTTAACTTCTTTAAACTTATTTCATTTAGTAGCCAAGGCAGCGTTTCTAATTTTCATTCAGTTTGAGTTTTTCATCTGATATGTTATTTTAGTTTTATTTCAGCATCATTCCAATTAACAAAAATGTTTTAGTTTTAGTTCTTGTTAACGATAATAATGCCATTTTATTTTATGAAACAGAAAAAAATCATACAATTTCATTAATAAATTATAAGATATATTGAAACAATTTTATAAAATCAACATGAAAGTGAAAGTATATGGCAATATTTTTTAAAGAGAATCATCCCTTTAAATGTTTCATGGCTGCATATATTTAAATAACTTTGGCTTAATGTTTTATGATTCATTCAATACGATTGGCATTCCATATATGAAAGTTTCTCAGCTGCTTCATGACTCTCTGGAAGTACAAGTACACAACCTGAAGTCTGAAGATCTCAAAAACAATCTGTCACTGCTAAAACATCTACAATAATCTATTGAAATACCTGCAGTTCATATATTGCTTTAAAACTGTTTATTTAATCTTAAAAGCTACTTTTGAACGTCCATCAAAATGATGCAGTTCTGGCATTTTACAGCAGGTTCTATTAAGCCGGTTCCTGACCTCTGATTCAAGAAGAGGTCAGAGGTTAGAGGTCAAGCCATGAAACTGTAATGTAATGTTGAAGTCACAAATAAAGGCTTGAGAAAATGAACATCAGAACTGCACAATAAACTGTAGTCTATGTCAAGCTTGAGAAAGAGTACAATGAAAGCAAGGGAATAATTGCTAGAGGCACTCTGAACAAACACTCAAATAATTTGTATATTTATACAAAGTACAAACATTATTTGCCCACCGGTGACTGAAGCACAAAATAAGTTGTTTTCTGGTTGCTTAGGGGTTTAATATCCGTCTGAATAGAGCCACCGTGGCCTGGTTGTGTTTTCTCTCTGCTCTGTTGGTTTTGTTAGTGTATACTCGTTAAAATATGATGACGAGCTTATTATAGCACTGTCATGATATCTTCTTCAGAGCGTGACACAGAGGTTTACACACTTTAATCATTTACCTTATGTGCAATTTCCATGCATTATTGATCCGCACTTTAAGCAGAAAGCAGAATTTCACTCACAGACTCTTATTTACGTGTTTTTTTATTAGAATTTTTACTATTAGTGTCATTATTAGCATCATTCGTATAAGCATCATTAAGCAAACATCAAGTAAGCATGCAGTATTTACAGTCGTTGTTCAATTACGCTCCATCGTCTGCATATGCAAATGTTACATTATACACACATATTCACATCAGGATGCTCGAGAGCTTCAGATACCAACACAAACAGTCTGGATCTGTGAGATCAGCCTCAAAACAGTGTCTGAAATTCACTGGGGTGTCATTACGATTGATAACGAGACGAAGATGGAACTATATGCATAATGGGAAAGTAAAGGAAGACATGGACAGCCTTGCCATCAAATACAGGTCAGTTTGCAGGTTAGAATTGAAATAGAAGAGCTAAACAAACAGGTTATTGATCAGGTAATTGTGGTCTGTTTTAGGAGGATTTCTAGACGTATGAAGTCTTTGGCTTAGATGTTTGGCACTGTCATCATCATCCTCTCATTGTCCTATTTACTGGAACAGAGATTATTTATTAGAAATGTACGAAAATTTCACATGGAATGTATTAAGCTGCTTTCTAATACTGGTGTGAATATAACTAAACCTTGCAGGGATGCTAATAAAATCTAAATGAAGTTCATGATTGTGTCAAACAATGGGAATCATTAAAGAAACATGTTTTCTATTCATTCTGAAATGCATCTGTGTTATTTTAGTATTAATGAGATACTATTATATTTTTAATCATATTTAGAATTTGTTTTCATATTTTCATTTTAGCTAAAGTTTTAGCAATTTTATTGTGTTTTTTTGTCATTTTTATTACTTTTAGTTTTTGATAACGTCTGTATAGTTTATTTATTTTATAATTTTATTTATATCTGAGTTATTTTTGCACATCAAGTCAAACTAAATGAAAATGAGAAATGTTTTTAGCTGCAATAAAGTAAAAAAAAATAAATTAAAAAAAATAAAAATAAAAAAAATATGATATGCATATACAGTAAATGACGAGTTATTGCATTCATTCTCAACTTGGCAAATTAAAAACAACCTATGAATAAACACAAAGAAGTCCCATAAATGCAAATTTACGTCAATATTAATGTATTATTACACTGAATATTACCCTAAAGTGGTAAAGAAACATGCATTAAATGGAAAATCAAGCACTTTGTAGTATTAAACTTTGAATGGAAGGCATTCGACGTGAAATTAAGGATCCGACTGCATGACGAAGGCAAACGCTCAAAACATCTAAATGAAGCCAATTCAAAGTTACAAAAATAGCAGATCTATTTGAGAGCATTAACAATCCCAAATAAAAAACAGTTTCAAAAACCTAACCGAGGTCGAGAGAGGAAAATAAAATAAAATACATCAGTTTTAATATTATATTTAAAACCATAACCCAAAGTGTTCAATCCAGTTCAGTACGGGCCGCTGTCGCTGAATCCAAGAGCTTTAATGCACAGATGCACGTCCCAAAAATTTCAATGTTTCCAGACAGTTTAGCATCAGTCGCCACACGCAGTCCATGGCCTTTGGTCTAGTCCGTATCCGTCCTGTATAGAGTCCACAAACACCTCTGAATCATTAAAGCCAAGTCATATAAAGAGTTTGCACGGCCCCTGCAATCCATCGATAATGTGCAAGAAAGCAGCCGAGGCCGGAGCATTTATGGAAGCAATAAACTGGTAGCAATGGCTTCTTTCTGCCCTCAACACCGTAACTCAAACTCGAGAACCACAGACACGCGAGGAAGACACGTTAGAGGCATTACAGTGTGGAAAACACGGACACAAGTGAATAAAAACAGACTAAAGGAGAGCAGTCGCTGTGCTTAAAGGGATAGTTCACCTAAAAATCACTATTTACTGACCCTCATGTTTCCAACGGCTCTCAAACCTCGTTCACACTTGTGTTTAATTCAAATATGTCGTGTTGCGCCGGATTAGATGTCAAATAGGGCTGCGACACACAATTATTTCGATCATCGATTAATCGAACGATTATTAGAAGGATTAATCGACTAATCGTCAAGTATTTCACTGATTAATCAGTAGGCTTTGATCGATTATTCCGCTTTTGCGATTCGCTAAAATATTGAGTTATACTGCACATATTCTATACATATTCATATAGAGCTGCATGATAGCAGAAAATCAAGTTGTATTTCTAACTGAAAGCGACACACACTGTTTCTTCATGTTTAATGCTGTAAAGCTGCTTGCTTTAAAACAGTCTACTGTATAAAGTGTTGTATAAATAAAGGCGACAAATCAACAACAAACGTGCACTATATATGATGCTTTCTTAACTGCTGCTTTCTCACCGCTGTCATTTTTGCTGTGTTTATTTTGTTATTGAAAAGAAACGAGCAAGAAAAACAGTAAACTGCAAGTAAGAATGCAAAAGAACTTCGCCGTCAGTATATCAGGGCCTTTACACATGACAGCATTTTTTTTTTTTTTTTTTTTTTAAACATTCCCACACTCTACTGGTTCGGCTTCGAATGCATGTCTAATAAGCGTGTTTACTTCTATTGGATTGCATGCGGGAGGGCTGAATTACAGTCTTGCGCTACAGCGTCACACTGGTCAAACCTCATTATTGCAGGCCCCTACATTAGGTCATATGAGATTAATCGACTATTCGACAACAAAAATATTTTATGATCGACATTGTCAATAATATCGACTAATCATTTCAGCCCAAACATCGAGGACGAGACACACAGATTATGTAAAACCTGCCATCATATTTGAATTGACCGCAAACGCAAATGAGATTCGAACAGTCACAGAGGTTTTCAATGGACGTGAGGGTGAGTAAACGACATTGCTTTCCTCTTTGAACAAACTACACCTTTAGGATATCAACTTGTTAGGCCCTTTTTGATAATATTTTTTAAAGCATTTTAACAACTCCCAGTCGATAATGATGAACACACACAAATCCACATAAATCATATTCACTGACAGTTTCCAACAATCACATTCACACACGTTCAAATACTAAAATTCGCCCCATTTTTTCTGGGATATAACCTACAGTGATTGAGGATGTTAAAGTCAACATACGTGAAGGTTGAAGGTCAAATTCATCCTCCATCCATTTTTTTTTTCCAGCCGAACCTCTTTGAGATGAATTATCTGCTTGAAGTCCCCTGAGATTTAATTACATTTATTAATAATGTAATATTTCAATAATTTAACAACACATTTGCATGTTCATGGTTCTCTGATGTTGGTTAATAGTCACAAGACATGCAGGTAAATTAATATTTAATTTTCTAGTAAGTGTTTTATATTTGTTTTTATTTTCAAATTATTTATCCATTTTTATGATTTCATTAATTACTGTATTAGTTTGGGAAACTCTGCTCCTTGTATACCAGCCGTGAGGCTTCTTTATCAAATCCATCATTATTTGCTATTTTTGCTGTAACTTCTATTATATTAACATTTATCAGCACTAAATGTTAATTATAACCAATATTTCAGAAAGGCTGTGCTAGCTAGAACAGCAGCCTAAAACAACAACTAAATAATTGACTACTGGTTAAGTTTAACATTACCCAATAGTCTACAGCCTAGATGACTTCAATGGAAAAGCTGACTAAATTTTGATTTCATGTTGGCTTTAAGATCTAGTCTGCTCATCCTCAGCCACATGTGAAGTCAGAAAATCAGATTTCCAGTAATCTGATGCTAAAATTCACATGCATTTTCCTCAGTTTATCTTTAATTATTCAGAAGATTTAATCATGGGAACCATTGTGGAGATCCAGGGTTTCAAACTTCCAACTTTGCTATTGGCTATTGGTATCTGCTGAGAAATGTAGTATCGTTGCAACCCTAATTATTCTCCTTCTCTGTTGAGTCTCTACTGGTCTTTCAGACACACGTGCACACACTATAGTACTTACTAACACACAGAAATGATTCAACATGATGCCCTTGTTAAAAGTACAGGTAGTAGGTCCAGTAGAGCAGATTAACGATGATGAACGACAGTGGGAAAAATTGAGTATACGTTACATCATTGCATAATTACATAAGCGAACTAGTGAAATGAACCAGTTCATTGAAACGAACTGTCCAAAAGGACCAGTTCCTTGATATGCTTTTTTTATTCTCAAAGACGGGCAGCTGGTGAGTTACATTTTATGAATCACCAACCACGGTTTCAGCTAAACATCTTTTTTACTGTTCTACTATAAAAAACGTCACCTACATCTTGCATGGCCTGAGGGTGAGTAAATTTTCATTTTTGGGTGAACTATCCCTTTAAGACTCAAAGTACAGTATGGGCAATAATAATGATGCTTACCTTAGAAAACAGCACAGACGATGATGAACACTATGATGATGATGATGATCCTGTCTTACCATGAGTGCGTTCTTGTAGTCGGGATGCTGTAGCGTGCAGAAGTGGGCCACGGCGTACTCTATCAGCGCTCCAAAGATGAAGCTGAAGCAGATGCCCAGGTACACATCGATGGCCTTGATGAAGCAGTTGGCATTGGGCAGAGACGTCCGCGCGCCCATCATCAGCGTGGTCATTGTCAGGACGGTCGTAACGCCTTTAACATGTACCAATAACACACACGTTTAGCTGAAACACTCATTTGCCCAGCTCTAAACTGTAACAAGGAAATCAGCTTCTGCAGTTATTATATTGCTTGTTAGGATGATCTGTGTAGTTAGTTACTACACTGAAAAAAATGGTGTAGATTTACTATGAAACAATTTTCACTCTGAAATTGTTACAAAGAACTGACAAGTAGAACATTGAATTTGATGAATTAGACATTTTGAAGTAGAAAGCCTGAAATAGTATTTTCTTTTAAAGCCGACTCCAATAATCTTTGTTTCATTTACAACTTAAAAAAAATATATAAAATGTTTACCATGTATACGGTTGCTAATGTGTTTTTGTTGGTTGCTATGTGGTTGTTAGGATGTTTATGGGTGGTTGATAAGGTGTTCTGGGTTGTTGCTTGGAAGTTATGAATGGTTACTATGTAATTGCCAAGGTGTTCTTGGTGGTTGCTATGTAGTTGCTAGGATGTTCTTGGTGGTTGCTATGTAGTTTTGAATGTGTTCTTGGAGGTTTCTATGTGGTTGCTAGGATGTTACTGGTGGTTGCTATGATGTAATGGGTGGTTTCTATGTGGTTCCTAAGGTGTTTTTGGTGGTTGCCATGTAGCTGTGGTGGTGTTTTTGGAGGTTTCTGTGTAGTTTCTAAAATGTTATGTGGTTGTTAGGATGTTCTGGGTGCTTGCTGAGGTGTTCTGGGTGGTTGATATGATGTTCTGGGTGGTTTCTATGTGGTTGCTAGGATGTTCTGGGTGGTTACTATATGGCTGTGAAGGTGTTGGTTGCTAGGATATTCTGGGTGGCTACTATGTGGTTGCCAAGATTGTGGTTGCTAAGATGTTCTAGATGGTTACTATATGGTTGCCAAGGTGTTGGTTGATAGGATGTTCTAGGTGATTTCTATGTGATTTCCAAGGTCTTGGTTACTATGTGGTTTCAGAGGTGTTGGTTGCTAGGATGTTCTGGATGGTTACTATGTGTTTTCCAAGGTGTTGGTTGCTAAGATGTTCTGTATGGTTACTATATGGTTGCCAAGGTGTTGGTTGATAAGATGTTCTAGGTAGTTACTATATGGTTGCCAAGATGTTGGTTGCTAGGATGTTATGTATAGTTACTATATGGTTGCCAAGGTGTTGGTTGCTAGGATGTTGTAGGTGGTTACTATGTGATTATCAAGGTGTTGGTTACTATGTGGTTGCCAAGGTGTTTGTTACTAGGATGTTCTTGGTGGTTACTATATGGTTGCCAAGGTGTTGGTGTCTAGGATGTTATGGATAGTTACTTTATGGTTACCAAGGTGTTGGTTGCTAGGAATTTTCGGGTGGTTACTAAATCAACATAATTTGTTTTTCCTAAGAATGAAATGAAACACATTACTGTACCTATGCAGACGCGAGCGGGGACGGATGATTGGCTGATCCAGAAAGAGACCCAGGACAGAACCACCAGCAGGCTGGACGGCACGTATGTCTCCAGGATGAAGTACAGGATGCTCCTCTTCAGCTCGAAATGAAAGATCAGCTTGGGATAATTTCCTGGGAAGAGAATCAGAGTCCTTTCATAGGGATATAAAACATTTATGCTGTGCGTCCAAGTAAAAAGTCTTCAAGACTATCAATAAATCAAAAATAAGGAGTTATTGGAGTGGTTTTTATGGCTACGTACACACTGTAAGATTTCAGGATATACCATAAACATAGTAATTTCAGTGCCATTTCTGATGAAACGGGTTTTATTATCAGGTATCTTTTAATAAGCCGCTTCACAGACGTTAGATGTTGACTGCGGTGTGTTTGCGGTCTTGTGTACCTGTCTCATATACGGCCTCAGACACTGAGGTGTAATGATCTTCTACGGTGAACTGAGCCAGTTTCAGCGTGTCCAAACCGCTCACAGAGTCGTTCCCACGCGCCCAGTAAAACATCACGTCATTGATGTTATAACCCCCTGTGAACAGACAAACAGAGATCAACACAAGCACACTCAATTCTGACATTATCAGTCTGGGCCACATTCAGACATGGGAACTAAATCAGTCTCTTCTGCTCACCAAGGCTGCACTTATTTGGTCAAAAATACAGTAAAAATTGTGAAATATTATTACAATTTAAATGAACTGTTTTCTATATGAATATATAGTAAAATGTAATTTATTTCTGTGATGCGCAGCTGTATTTTCAGCATCATTCCTCCAGTCTTCAGTGTCACATGATCTTCAGAAATCAGTATAATATGCTGATCTGCTGCTCGAGAAACATTTCTGATTATTATCAATGTTGAAAACAGTTGCGCTGCACAATATGTTTGTGGAAACTGTGATGCATTTTATTTTTCAGAATCCACAGATGAATAGATAGTTCAAAAGAACAGCATTTATTTGACGCACGCAAGTCAGTTCTGGAGTGATTTGAAATGGGACACACTGTGAAGAAATTGTGAATGCAGTCTAATTAATTACAAATTCAGGTATTAATATTTTGATGTGTAGGTGACTAATATCAGATAAATGGTCACGTGCATTGGTGTGTAATATCAGTATGTGTCCTCTTGGTGGCGCTGAGTGACAGTAATCAGATCAGTAATCTCGGCACATGACGGAGGAAGAGAGAGAGGAGTGTTTATGTCTCACAACATATATCTGTACAGTAAACCTCGATTGAGAAAGACTTCGCAATTAAAACATGCAATATGCTGCACTGCAGAAACAACTGCAGGGAGCGGGTTCTGTGTTTATGTGTTTCACTGCATGGCACGCGAATACAATGTCTAGATGAAAGGCCATAATTCAAAATAACTGTACATTATGTTTATATTGTGCAAATAATTTTCTTTAGGAAACGTGCAAAAATGACAATTTGAGGCAAAACTGTCATGAAAATAATGTCACAATGCAAAACAAAAACCCTCTTAAAGTTCCTGCAGTTTGTGCATGTAAAATGCATCAAGAAACCTTATTTCATCTTTTCATTTTTTGGAGTGCAATACGACAGGAGTCATCTTGGACTGATTTCTGTCTGTCTGTAATATTTATTTATATAAATGATCTTGATGTGCATCTACACATCAGAGATCTGCATTGCATGCAAGTGCAAGGAAAGAAAACAGGCGAAATGTGGCACATTTGTGTGCAACCACAACATGTTCTTATAAAATATGAAACAGCGTGAACATTGTGTGAGTACAGATGTCACAAACAAGAGCACAGAAACGTCAGCTTGTTGCCAGAGCAACACTTTGGGGAAGCAAAAGCTGGAAATGCGTGTGTTTTCTTACAGCTCTCCAGTTGTAAGGTGCACGTCTGTTTGTCCATGGGATATTTGGTCAGATCCATGTTACAGGCCACAGTTGTGGTGATCCTACAGAGGAAAAACATAAACACTCATAAACACCGACATGTTCTCATCGCTTCTGATATTTAATGAATGGTAAAGAGGCACAGGCTGCACAACATCCCATCGGTAATCAGTATTTTACGCTTGTTTTCCAGTAGAAATATCTAAATGTCCTTAAACCAAGTTATTAAAAAACTTCCAGGTTTGCTGTGCTTGTTTGTAGAGCTGCACAATTTTGGCAAAATATGGCTATGTCATAATAATATATTAATAATAATAATACTATATATATCATAATTTTTATTATTAAATAATTTTTTTAAGTTTTATTTTTTAATTGTTTATTTATTTTAAATGTATCCTTATTAATAATAATGACAATATAAATATATAAGTATAATTTGTTATCATTATAATTATTATTATTATTAATAATAATTATAATATTTTTACAATTATTATTTATTTTGAATTTATCAATGCTACTACTACTACTACTACTAATAATAATGATAACAAATGATACTTATATATTTATATTATCATTATTATTAATAATGCTAAAATAAACAAATTAATAATATTTTGTTATTTATTATTATTATTTGTTACTTATTATTTATAAATAAAAAACACCTAAATATTTTAATTTAATCTCATCCTTCCATTCAAATAATATGCTAAACTGAATTTAGACTTATTTATTTTGATTTTCTTCTTCTTCTTCTTCTTAATAATAATAATAATAATAATAATTATATAAATATAAAATAATTTTGTATTTTAATTTATTATAATTATTAATGATTAATAATGTAAAAAATACAGTAATAATAATAATAAATTATTTTAGCTATTTATTATAAATCCAATATACAGTGGTGTGAAAAAATGTTTGCCCCCTTCCTGTTTTTTTATTTTTTGCATATTTGTCACACTTAAAAGATTCAGATCATCAAACCCAGCCGATTAATCGGCCGATTTTTAAAATTTTTTAATTAATCAGCATTGGCCGATTGTGCTGCAAATTAGGCCGATTTATAGGCAGGTGCACCTGCGGGCAGCTAAGCATTGTTTCAGAACTCCCTCTGAGGCTGCGTGAGAGATGGAGCAACTCACACTCTGCAGCCGCGGCTTGTTCACACACAGCTTCAGCTAACGATGGCAGGGCAAAACAGACCATTTCAAAAGCAGAATTACATTTTACCCTACTAGAGTTGATGCCGGAAAGTTATCATATTCATAAGAGCAACAAGTCATTTGCATGTGAAAGTAGAAACACATTCAACTCAGACGAAACTTCTGGGCTGATGCCCACGTTAACTTTCCTCATTAAATGAGTTTGTGGGTCCGACAATATCCTCCACGATGTCATCGCTCGTGGCCAGCGCACTCTTAAGCAGTTATGAGCAGCAGGCTGTGTAATATGTGTAATAACTCTTTTATTTTTGTTATCACTATGGCCATTTGACTTATAGCAGTGTCCAGTGTTTCCCATACATTCAGTTATTTATGGCGGCTCGTCACAATATCAAAACTGACCGCCACAAATAGATTTTCCAAAAGGCTTAGTTCACATGTCGCGCCTAAAAACGTGTGGAAAACACAGCTTTCTGCTTTTTTCCCCAAAGCGTTCGTGCGCTTGCGCTCCAGAGGCGTCTGCCATTGCTAAGCAACCATGACCTGCGCACTTCATGAAGACGCGGAAGTTTCAGCAAAGGATAAATGGATTTGCAGCACTAAAAATCGCTTGCAGTAGCTCTGCTACTAAATTTATTTAAAAATGTCTATCCTGTACAGCTATGATCAGCTGTTCCTTCATCTTGGCTGAGCTTTCAATGTTGTTACGGGGAAAGGATGAAGCTGATTGGCTGGTTCTTGTCACATTCTGAAAAGTTGAAATGTTTTTATTAGAGATGCACCGATCGATCGGCCAGGGATCGTAATCGGCCGATTTTCCTCATGATCGGCCCGGATCATTGGTCAGTCTCACTTCTTTCCGATTCCGAGCCGTTCCGTTTTGTTACCAGCGACACATGCAATAACGTCAGCCGCGCATTCTCACTCTCTTCTCTCCGACGACCCCTTCTCTCTCACACACGTCTCATTCGCTCCGGTTAAATAGTGCTTGTGTTGCGCATTATTTTAGTCATTCCCGCAGGTTTCGCTGATCTATATTAGTGGAGCGCACAATCTGCGCTCAGTCTCAAACAGCTTGTGAGCTACAAATACCAAAATGAGTGGCTGAATGCGCTAAAACGTTCAAATACATAAAAACTTATGTCAAAATGCCGGTTTTGGCGAGTATCCAGTTAAACGCAGTCAGTTTTGGAACGTTAAATAGTTGAGAAAGAGAACGCATGTTGTGTAACAGTATTAAAGGGACTCTTAAAGGGACCGCAGTCCAATATTTATGCTGTCTTGATAATCAAAGAACAAAAGACAAAGAAAAAAATGTTCTGCTCTTGACTGAATACGTTTTATAACTTTAATGGTAAGCATTCATCTGTATTTAATTTTTACAATGAAGACTACAGAAATTAAAGTAATCAAATGTAAAATAACACTGGATGTGTTATTTTATATTTGATTACTTTAATTTCTGTAGTATTTCTTACCTGAATAAAAACTTAACCTGAAAAACTTAGTTTCATAGCTCTCTTTATTCTATTGCATTTATTTGTGCTGTTGTTTGCAATTTTTTTATTTGTTCTTATTTTATTACAGAATTTTTACTTGTGTTTTTTATGAAAATAAAACTTTGCGTTGAAGAAAAGTAGATTTTTGTTTGTATATGCTGTCAATTATAGTTCTTAAAAAGAAAATCGGAATCGTCAAAAATCGGTATCGGCAGATCGCACTAACAAAAAAATGGGAAATTGGTAATCGGAATCGACCAAGAAAATTGCAATCGGTGCAACTCTAGTTTTTATTTGGATTAAATGATGGAAAAAATTAGTGCGCCTGCCACACGTCTACATTTGAAATAACGAACTTGAGCACGCAAAAAACACGATATGTGAATGGCCCCTTATACTTCCTTGAATAAACTGAGCACTGCACTTTTCAAAATTAAAATGCAGCGCTTGTGTTTTTATATGAATATATCTTTGAAAAGAACCGACTGTCTTCAGAAAAGCTTTGGTGTCATTTTCATTTTGTCTTTCCTGTAATGCCTGATAAAGCAGCGTTTGTGAGCGCAGTGCTTATTAGATTATAGCCGTTACCGGGGAAACCGCTATATCTCCCGCTCCAACAGCGCCTCGCGCTAGCAGAGAATTAATTTGCAGTCTGTGGGGAAACACTGGTGTCTGTCAGCAAACATAAACAAAAAACATCCTTCAGAACTGTTTTGAGAAGGTGCTTATGTTTTGAGCCATGTATTATTACTCTGAATTAGGCTACTACTACTATTACTATCTTGTATCCTGCAATAATCATTTACTCAAACTCCTTTTTATGAGATCAATGGGGAAAAAAAGAAAATCGGCCAAACATATCGGCCAAAAAAAATCGGCATCAAATATCGGCCATCGGCTGCCCTGATTTCTAAATATCGGCATCGGCAAGTGAAAAACCCATATTGGTTGACTTCTAATATATATATTAGAGGTATATTTATATATACATTTGTATTATTATAAATAAATAAAAATCTAAGGATTACTAACTGAAATCAGACTTTTTAACACATCAAGAGAGCTCAATGTTCAGATTCACAGCTATATCTGTGCTACAGACCAGATAAGCCTCACCGGAGCGCATAGAGAACGGTCCCGTTGGGAAAGATCCGGATCAGTCGGTTCTCCACGGTGATGTCGTGGAGGAAGGACTTCTTGGAGTCCACTATAAAGGTGTCTGGGACCCACAGCAGCTCCACCAGTCGCCCGTCCAGACTCAAGCTCTTATTGCCTTCAAACACGAGACGCTCGTCTGTCCAGCGCTGCCGGAGGAAGATCGTGGCGGTGTAGTCCTGCCCATTCAACAACAGCACAGCATCCGTAATGATTTAGCAAAGAATACAAACATATATTTTCACATTTTATGAACAGCGCTACATAAACTGTGTGAGATGAGCCAAAGTTTAATACTTTAGATTACAAATTGGAACAAACCCTTAACTTTAATTACAAGCAATAATAATATTCTTAAATTTTAACTAGTATTATTTAGGTTTAATTATTATGATTATTATTAATAAAAAAATATTTAAAGTAATAATAATAATAAAACGACTTTTAAATATTGTTTAATTATTTATAAGTATTGTATTATTGTTCATGTTTAATTATAGTTATTTTATTTATAGTATAAAATAAAGAAATTTGCAAAATAATAAATAATAATTTTCAATATTTTTCATCTATTTATTATTATTATTATTATTATTTTATGCTTAGAATAGTATTATTATTATTATTATTATTATTGTTGTCATTATTTAATTTATTATGAAAATAAACCAATTAATAATAATAATAATAATAATAATAATAATTTGTAAATATTTTCTATAATATACATAAAAATTTGAATAATCATGTTTTTAATATCATTATTTAATAATAAATTATTATTTATAAGTATTGTATTATTATTATTATTATTATTATTATTATGAATATAATTTTTAATTATAGTTATTTTATTTTATTATATTAATTATATAATAATTTAATATAGCTATTTATTATTATTATGCTTAAAATATTATTATTATTATTGTCATTATTTTTAAAAATAATAATTATTATCATTATTATGAAAATAAACCGATTAATAATAATAATAATAATAATAATAATAATAATAATATGTAAATAGTTTCTATAATAAACATACAAATATGAATAATAATGTTAATATAATTATTTAATAATAATTATTATTATTAAAAAGGGTCATTTTATTTTGTTTTACTACTACTACTACTACTACTACTACTAATAATAATAATATTGAAAATGTATTACTTAAGGTCAATAACTTGAACAAGCCCCTTAATCTCAAGTATGAGCAATACATAAATAAATAATACTCACTAATGAGCAGATAAGAGTTTTCGAGCCATCATTAATGTAAACTGATGTGGCGTGTGAGGGTGCTCTGTTTCTCACCATGTTGATCTCTGAAATGGTATCAATACTGGCGATGTCTAAACTCATGCCCACCGTGACGGGACCATCTGCAGAACAGAGATGGAGAGAAGGCATGTCATCATAATTCAGAGAATAGTTGCTAAAGACGGAAACCCTGCAAGCCAAACTCTCTGCTCATTAAAGCTGACGATGTGGGAAGCATGTGTTTTATTTCTTCACAAATCTTTACAACAGAATGAAGTAGATGACGGGGGTGAACATGCGGTGAACAGGGACAAATTAACGAAAAATAGCAATGACTTCAGTGGAACGCAACAATGGAGTGGAGGCAATAATTAAATATTTTTCCTCTCATGATTTTCTTGACACCTACTGCTCTTTCTATGGCTATTTTTATACTTGGTTTGATGGTTTGAGCTGCTGTCCACACACGTCTCTCTTCACATAATTGTGTCGTCAACATAAAACAGCAGCTGTTTACCACTCAAACTAGGCAATGACTCCAGAGGAGACGCCAGATTCACCGTGTTATTGAAGTGTTTGTCCCTATGGATTCAACAGCAAAACTTCACACGCACTGCGAGAGATGTGACCAGAAATGCATTATGCTTTAAGTGTGACGGGGAGCATGCAAAGATGCAAATGATTGGACATCAACAGCAGATTGATTTCATATCATACTGGAGTTAACTAAAGTTTTGTGTCAATTAACAGCTTTTACATTCATGCATTTGGCAGATGCTTAAATCTGAAGCGACTCACATTGCGATTATTAACAGTAAATGAAAATAGCAGCCTGTCAGCATCATGCAAACATGAAATATCAGACATACAGTAATAGTTCTGCACAGGTTTTTCATGCGCTTGATGAACGTGTTTGTCCATTGCGCTCGCGTCTCGCATCTTTTGCAGTTGCATTTTTCACGTTCCACAGCTGCGTCTCATGTTTTTCAGCACAAACGCATTCTGTGTGAACAGCCGCTCAGACGTTACTGTACATTTACTTTACTCTGAGGCTCATCCATTTCACTTTCGGTGTGAAAGGGCTTTTGCATTTTCCAAAAATATAACATTTTTTTATATTAAAAACAAACAAGCAAGCCCAGCCCAGATTAGAAAAAGTAATGCAAAAGTAACATCACACAGTACTTTTCATAAAAAGTAACTAAGTAACGCAATTAGTTACTAAATTAGTAACGCAATATTGTAATGCATTACTTTTAAAAGTAACTTTCCCCAAAATGGGTCACACATGAGCGATTCATCAGCCACGCTGTCATGCGCTTGGTTCTTTTTATATTTTGGCACATTGTCTAATTCTAGCCTTTGCTAATACTTTCATTCAAAACCATGATCCTTCAATGCAAAAAAGAATAACATTATGGCAAAACATTACATTCTAATTAATCAATTTCATTGCAAAAAATCCCTACTAAATTGAAAGGGTAACTGTTTGAAACGCTAGAGTTTCAAAGCAGCTTCCTCAACACTGCTGGAGAAACGGTCAATGAATGAATAAAAAAACAGTCCTCAACTCATCAATAATTTACAGCAGGAGCAACAGGAGGAGAGACAGCGATGGATTCACTGTGTTTCTCTAACCTGTGTGCGCTTGCTGCTTTATTAAAGTGCCTGAATAGTGAATCTGAATTCGGAAAGGCACAGAAAACGAATAGTGTGTTCTACGGATCCACTAAAGGGACATGGTTAGCCGCTTGCTAGCGGTAGCCTGTTACATTACAGTACATACAATTTCAGTTACCACATAAACAGAGTAAGGAGAGATGACTGATAGGAGTAGTTGACACAGAGTACGTGTGATCGTGAATCTTGGAAAGTGAAAGTAAAAAGCGAGCGCACATTCAAAAGCAATTTCAATGCCCCGCATATTAATAGTGGCTTCCTGATGCCCGCAGTTTATATACAGTGTAATTACCCAACAATATACTTGCGAGAGAAAGCATTTAAATATATTTTTACGTATTTATTCCCTTTAGGGCTTCTGTAGAACACGTTATTCGTTTTCTGTGCCTTTCCGAATTCGGATTCACTATTCGAGCACATCCCTAGTCATTAGTCTCGACTACTGTAGGGTCTCAGGTTGATCTGGTTTGTGTGTGACAGGGATATTACTGGTAACTAAAACTGAAAAAAATAATAATAATTTTCATCACTTAAAAAAATAATCATCATTAATAAAAAACTTAAACTTATTTTATTTCTGCTAGTTGCCAATGCAACATTTAATTTTCCTTAAGTACTTCTAGTTGAAGTACTAAATATGGAAGCTTGTTTTGACACAAGATAAAAAAGACACCTTTTTTCAAATTAAGATGCAAAAACAAAGGTCAGAATTCTGTGAATTTTTATTCCCTGGTGGACAAAAAGCAGAATTGCAAGATGTAAACTCAAAATTGTGAGTTCATGTCTCACAATTCCAGAAAAAAATAACAACAACAACAAAAAGAAAAACTGAATTGCTAGTTAAAAAGTACAAATTACTTCTTTTTTTTATTTTTTATTTTATTTTTTATGCTATGACAGAAACAAGCTTCCATACTATAATAACTAAAGCTAAATAAACTAAAAAATAAAACTTACAATTTACAGACACATATATATTAAAAAAAGACAAAAACAAACAACAAACTTACTAAAACTGTAGCTAAAATTAACTAAAACAGAGAATACGAAAATAAAATCTAATTCAAAATATTAACAAAAAATTATAATAGTACATCAGCTGTACTAAAATAACACGTGAGCATGCATATGGGTTTGGGAGCAATGCAAGCTCAACCGCATGCGTCATTACATTTTGTAATGTTTCAGAGATGCCACAAGGGGCGCTATAGCGGGAATTCCCATAAAAAGTCGTCTACCGTCATGGTGGAGCAACAGTTACACAGAATCTCGCTGTTATGTTATGCATGTCTCTCGGTTTCTGATTGATGACACTGTGGCTTAATCACATTTCTATTCTCATTTGCATGTCTAACATAATGGAGCACCAATCAATCAGTTCTGAATAAAGATGTGAGGGAGTAAAGCGCCGTTCAGCCCTCATACAGTACACACATGCATGCATTAAACATTCATTATGTCCCTACTGTCAAAGAAAGGCCGGAGGTATTTGTTGTATCCTTTCATCAGCTTCTGGATGGTCGGAGGAAGAATCTCTCCCTCTTTCACCTCGGCGCTGAGCAGAGAGTTTTCCAGAAACCTGTGGGAGAAAAACGGAGGAATATGAACGAAGAGAAAGAAAGCTGTGGCTTCCTCTGCACTCTCATTATTTCAGGGCAGATCGCTGATCAACGGTTTGGTTTCGCTGTAAAATCAGCGGCCCACACTGATAAGAGCGTTCAGATCCCAGAACAACTTTAAGTTAAGATAGAGAGAGAGAGAGAGAGAGAGAGAGAGAGAGAGAGAGAAAGGGAAAAAAATAAGCTCATTTTCATAATTGGATTATTGGATTCCGTCAGTGTGGAAGACTTGAAAACGTACCATCAGCACTCGGATTTTATCACGCGTCGCTTTTACACACAACAGCGAAAATATGCCTGCACCGTCAGCAGAAACTCAAGCGCATTTATGATGCAATGAATGATTTGTGCATGTGTGTGACATGTACGATAAATACACCAATGCACTGAGACAAGCTAAAACTGACTACAGAAAAACTCTACTTGTCATTAGTTTCATTACCACAGAATATGTTTTCGATTTGAATTTAAAGTTTATTTAAGTGTAAACATTTCTAGTACTAGGGCTGCATGATTTTGGGGGGAAATCAATATTGTGTAACTATATATATTAATATGGCTATAATAATAATAATAATAATAATAATAATAATACAGCAATATTAATATAAAATCGTAAATTTATGCCAAATTGTGTAAATACTATTTTTGTTACATTTTACTTTGAAATGTTAAAATAGCAATAATATCTATTATTTTCTTTAATAATAATACTAATAATAATACTAATACTAATAATTATGACACACACTCAGATTAGAGTGGAGATAACTAAAAATGACGAAAATTACAGAGAGAGAGAGAGAGAGAGAGAGAGAGAGAGAGAGAGAGAAAGGGCAAAAAATAAGCTCATTTTCATAATTGGATTATTTTGATCCGTCAGTGTGGAAGACTTGAAAACGTACCATCAGCACTCGGATTTTATCACGCGTCGCTTTTACACACAACAGCGAAAATACGCCTGCACCGTCAGCAGAAACTAAAGCGCATTTATGATGCAATGAATGATTTGTGCATGTGTGTGACATGTACGATAAATACACCAATGCACTGAGACAAGCTAAAACTGACTACAGAAAAACTCTACTTGTCATTAGTTTCATTACCACAGAATATGTTTTCGATTTGAATTTATGTTAAAGTTTATTTAAGTGTAAACATTTCTAGTACTAGGGCTGCATGATTTTGGGGGGAAATCAATATTGTGTAACTATATATATTAATATGGCTATAATAATAATAATAATAATAATAATAATAATACAGCAATATTAATATAAAATCGTAAATTTATGCCAAATTGTGTAAATACTATTTTTGTTACATTTTACTTTGAAATGTTAAAATAGCAATAATATCTATTATTTTCTTTAATAATAATACTAATAATAATACTAATACTAATAATTATGACCTCCAGTTTCCCCATATCAGGGTGAACCTCACAACAAAAAAAAAGAATGAATAAAAAATGAAGACTATTTGGCATCAACATATTTATTTATTCATTTATTTCATAATGTTACTTTATTCAAAACTAGGATTTTTTTTTTACACTTTAGATATCAATAATGATTCTAATTAGAATTGCATTACTTTAATAGCTTTTTAAATGGGCATAAATGCTGTAATACATTTTACATTGTTATTACATTTTTCTATTATTTATTTGAATAAAAATAATACAAATTGGGGTACTTTTAAAAGTTGGAGGACTTAATGTATTAATGCACAAGGAAATACTAATGGTTTGTCAGATTTTGACAGTTTTATTTTTATTTTTTGAGATCCACACAATAAAATAAACACACATGCTCAAATTCAATATGAATAAAATGAAATGATTTAAAATATTTTTTTTCAGTGTTACTTTCTTCATATGTAAAATAAATAATAATACATACTATATGTTATTAAAATAGCATATATGCTGTAATTCTACCACAAATTAATAATACTTTTAACAATACTCTATCACTCATTTTCTGAGGATTATGATTTATATTTGGAATGGATATTTTGGATGGCTTTTAATATAATTGTTTATGTCTCTCTCTCTTTCTCTCTCTCTCTCTCTATATAATTAATAAATAAAATTAATTAGAATCAATTTAATACATTTTTCCTACGTTTTATTTCAGTTTTAGTCTATCAAGTTAAATTAAATAAAAATATGTATGAAATATGTTTATATATATTTAATTTCAATTATATTTCAAATAATGATTTTTTTTATGGTTTTAATTTATAAGTTTAAGCATAACATATATGCACTTTTGTATTTTTATGGCATCTGAATTAAAACTTATGCAACCCAAATGCACAAAATGGTAAAATACCGATCCAGATGCTCTGAGTATTGTAAATTCATCATATACTGATGTCAGTAATTAAACAATGACTGGTAATTACTGAAAGCTCTCTGATGACCTGCAGAGCATTACAGAATTGGGTGAGGAATAAACCACAACTTCAGCCTTTACAAATCATTATTCATTAACAGCTTTATTCAATTTGTTCCATACTCTTCAGAATATGCATCGGATCCTGAGGCTCTTCTGCCACGACATTAAACAGCCATTATTACAGCTCATTAGTGTGATACATCATTTCATATTCATCCCTGCTGACCTTGAGGAGTTTTTGCATTCATCCATCCATCCTTCACTGTTTAGTTTTGCAGTAATATCCAGAATTTCTCCATTTCATTTGATAAAAACTATTGTAAGATACAAAAAGAAACTCAAAGGTCTTCATTACAAACCCAAAGCAAGTTTGTTTTAACCTGAAGAAATTATGACAGAAATATACGAGTATTGTATAGTAGAATGTACTTATCAAAGTAATAATAACAATAATAATATATATCAATTTATTGTATTTATATATATATATATATATATAAACTTAATTTATTAAAACATTATTTTTAAGGAACACAATTGTTCTTCCATTGAAACTGTAAACCTCTATTGTGCAGACCTACAGAGAAGAAGGAATTGTTCATTTCATTTGATTACAATTTTAAAAGATTAATTAAATTGTTAAAGATTTATTCATTAACACCTTTTTGGATAATTATTTGTATTAAATCATACATTGTTAAATTCAGTTGATTACACATCATTTTTGCTTATTAAAAATTAAATATTAAACGAAACCTTTAAAAACAGAATACAGAAATATTCAAATGGAAATTTTGGAAAAATAAAACAATAAAAAAATAATAATTCTATACAGTAATATATATAAAAAATAGGGCATATTATTGTTAAAACTGTAATAAAATATACAATTTTAAAAGTTTAATAATTGTATAATAATAATTTGATTAGACATCCTTTTTTATTATTAAAATTTGTATTTAACCATTAAAACAGAATCCAGAAAAATTACAAAACTGAATTTTGGAAAAAAATAAAACGGATACCATAAGGCCCAAGGCACTGCTGATATGATCATAAACGCATTCATTTGATCAACACTGTTTTTGTTAATACTGTAATTTGCATTGAATCATAAAACACAGAATCCAGACAAAATAAAATAGAAAGATTTCTGATAAAATAAAACGCATTTCTTAGGGCCCTATTATTGTTATATTAAATTAAGCCATTTTTGTTTAAAATGCTCTTTAGTTTTGAATGCATGTTTCTTCATTAGTTCAGGCATGCATCAGTCCACGATATCTGTGCAACCACATCTACAGTACAGCAAACTCTCTACTGCTTAACACATTTCTATTTTCATGCAGCTCGACATTAATGCATCCATTCACTCTGCTCTCGGCATCATAGATGACCACACGTGTGCAATCTGAACATCTCCAGCCCAGAGCTCTGCTGCACAACGACTCCCTCAGGAGACTGCGTTCAGACCGGCTCAGAAACATCTCTCAAGGGTGACAGCTATGAAATTAAATCTGAATGGCCGGGGAATCAGTCAACAAACAGACACGGATAAGAATACACTCAGTGCACTCAATGTGACTCTCAACAGAAATGGGAATATGAATGGAAATGGAATTTACTGTATAACACCGAATTTGGATGAATAAATCAAAAGTAGTGCTGTTTAATTAATCAGATTACAACATGGACTAGTGCCTGTGAATTAGAGCTGAGCGATATGGCCGAAAAAAACAAAAAATCATATCTCTGTATTTTTTGGCTGAATTGTGATCTCAATATTTTCTACATTTTTCTATTTGGATTAAAAAATATTGATTTATGCATTCATTTAATCCTGCCCAATGTTGTCCAATGAAACGATGTTTATATTAAAGACAATGAAAACAAAAATGTGACCCTGCAGCACAAAAGCAGTGTTGAGTCGCTGGGGGATATTTGTAGCAATAGCCAACAATACATTGTATGGGTCACAATTATAGATTTCTCTTTTATGCCAAAAATCATTAGGATATTAAGTAAAGATCATGTTCCATGAAGATATTTTGTAAATGTCCTACCGTAAATATATCAAAACTTAATGTTTGATTAGTAATATGCATTGCTAAGAACTTCATTTGAACAACTTTAAAGATGATTTTCTCAATATTTAGATTTTTTTGCACCCTCAGATTCCAGATTTTCAAATAGTTGTATCTCAGCCAAATATTGTCCTATCCTAACAAACCATACATCAATGGAAAGATTATTTATTCAGCTGCACTTATGAACTTCAATATGTATTATACAGAGGCAAGAGGAATAGAAAAAATACCATCTAACTTTTCTAAAGACAGTAAGTTCCCCTCAGACATGCATTCATATAAACTCCTGCCCCTAACTGAATCATGATTTGTTTAGCGTCACAACCGATTTGAATCGTCACATATTTGAATCAATTTACAACCGGCTCGTGGTTAATCGTTACATCCCAAGCTGGAAATTATCTAAAGATTGCATTCGGAAGGCGATTTATGACACCGCATGAATCATCTGAATATTTAAACTTAAGTCTTGAAGCAATATTGTGTGGACTGACCTACTTAACAATTACACAAAGTACAGGTATCACCTCCCTTCTGTGCTGTTTGCTAAGGAATGCATCACTGTATCACTAATGCTTACGCTCTGAACAAATGCATAAAGTATTACATTCAGCACGCAACCATCCCATGCTCAGTGTCCTAAAAACACACGTGCAATACTTCAGCAACGCCAATTTGCCAAAAATCTAAAGAAATTGTTTACATTTCATTTGATTGCATTCTATAAGATCAATTAAATTGTTAAAGTTTTATGCATTCATTTGATTAACATCATTTTTGAATATCAATTTGTATTAAATCACGAAACACAGAATCTAGAAACAGAATTTCTAAAAAATAAAAATAAAACATTTCTATTTTTAAAAAAATGCAACAAATTATTGCATTTTCAAAGTTTTATTAATTCAACTGATTAGCCACATCTTTTGATTATTAACATTTGATTGAATCATAACACATGCATTCTACAAAACTTCTAGAAAAACTAGAAAAAGAATATGAAATTTAAATGTTAAAATTGCAATAAAATATTAAATTGTTAAACAGTTAACAATTCAATTGATTACACATCTTTTTATTATTATTATTATTATTATTTTTAATATATATTTATTATTTTTAAATTACAAAATTTAATGAAACCATTAAAAACAGCATCTATAAAAAGTAAAACAGAAAACATGTAATTTGGGAAAAACACAGAATCTATAAAAACACAATTTCTGAAAAATAAACAAATAAAGAAAAATTTCATAGAGCACTATTATTGTTAAAATAGTAAACTATTAAATTGTTAAAAAATGTATGAATTCAATTGATTAGGCATCCTTTTTAATTATAGCAAATTAATTAAATCACTAAAAACAGAATCTAGAAAAATTTAAACTGGAAAAACTTGGAATTTTTATGAAAAACACGATCTAGAAACAGAATTTCTGAATGAATGAATGATTGAAAACATTACATATGGCACTATTATTCTTAAAACAACAATACATAACTAAAGTTTAAAACTGTATGAATTCAATTGATTAGACATTAATTAGACAAGCATCAGAATCTTGAAAAATTCAAATTAAAATCACTATATTGCTAACGCTCTGAACAAATGAAAACAGTTTTAAATTTAGCGTGCAACCATCCAAAGCAAACATGCAACCCTTCAGCAATGACCTGACGAGTTTTCTTCATCAAAATCTAGTGTGGGATGTATGCAGCCTCATATACAAGCGGTGAATAAAAAGCAAAGGCATCAAGACTCTGTTAGTGAGCATTCAGCCAGAAGTCTATTAAGCGCACCCAGCAGGAGTCTGACTCAATAAATGCCCTTGTGCTTCACTAAAGGAAATAATAACCTCCTGAATGCATTTGCCAACAGTTTGGACACGACAGCTGGTCTTTACAGGGACAAATAGAAGATGGTGTGCAAGAGAGGTCAAGCATTCAGTGGGAATATTTTCTGCTTATTAGTTCAGCAATAACAGCCTCCTTTATGTCAGTAAGTGCTCCTGAGAGAAATCATTACTACACTCAGCAGTGTAAATATCAGCCGAGCGCTATTCAAACATGCTGAGGACAGTTTGAGATGCATAGGGGATGCATAGGGTATATATATATATATATATACAGTGGGTACGGAAAGTATTCAGACCCCCTTAAATTTTTCACTCTTTGTTATATTGCAGCCATTTGCTAAAATCATTTAAGTTAATTTTTTTTCCTCATTAATGTACACACAGCACCCCATATTGACAGAAAAACACAGAATTGTTGACATTTTTGCAGATTTATTAAAAAAGAAAAACTGAAATAACACATGGTCCTAAGTATTCAGACCCTTTGCTCAGTATTTAGTAGAAGCACCCTTTTGATCGAATACAGCCATGAGTCTTTTTGGGAAAGAGGCAACAAGTTTTTCACACCTGGATTTAGGGATCCTCTGCCATTCCTCCTTGCAGAGCCTCTCCAGTTCTGTCAGGTTGGATGGTAAACGTTGGTGGACAGCCATTTTTAGGTCTCTCCAGAGATGCTCAATTGGGTTTAAGTCAGGGCTCTGGCTGGGCCATTCAAGAACAGTCACAGAGTTGTTGCGAAGCCACTCCTTCGTTATTTTAGCGGTGTGCTTAGGGTCATTGTCTTGTTGGAAGATAAACCTTCGGCCCAGTCTGAGGTCCTGAGCACTCGAGAAGGTTTTCGTCCAGGATATCCCTGTACTTGGCCACATTCATCTTTCCCTCGATTGCAACCAGTCGTCCTGTCCCTGCAGCTGAAAAACACCCCCACAGCATGATGCTGCCACCACCATGCTTCACTGTTGGGACTGTATTGGACAGGTGATGAGCAGTGCCTGGTTTTCTCCACACATACCGCTTAGAATTAAGGCCAAAAAGTTATATCTTGGTCTCATCAGACCAGATTGATATATTTACAGTAGGACATTTACTAAATATCTTCATGGAACATGATCTTTACTTAATATCCTAAAAATGACAGAAAAATAGAAAAAAAACATATATTAAAAATATAGAAAATATCTAAATAATATACTGTACATATTTAAAATAAATTGAAATATGATATAGAAATCTTTACTTAATGATTTTTGGCATAAACAAAATAAATAAATATATAAATATATATATGTATGTATAATAAACTGAAAAAAATGACAGAAAAATAGAAAAAAAACATATATTAAATAATATACTGTACATATATAAAATAAATTGAAAAATTATATAGAAATAGAAAAAAATTATATATTAAAAATATAAAATATAATATACAATATATAAATATATTATATATACATTTATATATCATATAAATAATATAAATATAATAAATTACAAAATGACATGCACAGAAAGACATACTTTTAACGAAATATATAAATGACGAATAAATCGAATACATATGTATTTATATATATATATTAAAAAAAATATATATATATGTATAACTTCAGTTGTTGTGAAAAAGTTTGCAAGGATTTTCAGACCTGGACTGGATGCTCGGCGTGTTTCATGCTGTTTGTTTTGACAGATTATAGTTAACCATCTGGAAAAATCACCACACCTGGACAATTACTTACTAATTTTTCTCTGCTAGATCAAATCTGTTAAATAAGCAAGACTCATTCATCAGCAGGACAAGAAACTAACAGCACATCACTGCGATCGCAACGCACCCCTGAAACAAGCGTCCGTATCGGTGAAAACCAGAAAAAAACACCGCACCTCGTGCTCGTTTCACAGCGTCAGGCTGGTGGCGTGACCTGCTTTAAATCACATTAAAGCAATAATAACAGCAGCTTGAGTGAGTACATGAGAACTATCTGTGTTTGGCTGTACTTGTGCGCTGCACTAGAGAATCTATCAGGATGGTTGCTATGGCAACTGCTTCTGAGGGGGAAAAAAGTTACATATTTGAGGATCATTTATAGAAACGGGAGCTTAGAACCGTTCGGATCAATTCGGTACAAACCTCCCCTGAAACGGCCAATTAAATTAGCAGCACTGTTACTAATGCTCACACCCACAAGTTTCACGGTGCTAAACTTCTACATAAACTTCATCAGGTACATTTAGAACCAGATTACTCTATTTGATGACCACCGCGCAGCACCAAAATACTAATTAATTGTCAACTTAAATCTTTAACAATCTGTGTCACGATCCTCCAAGGTTTTAGGTTTTAGCCATTTGTCTGCAAGAAGTTTGTAATCATTTAAAATATATTAACAACATTTTAAATAATATTTAATAATATATTAAAAACATTTAGTATGATCACTGATTCTTTTATATCTTATATATATATCTTATATCTTTATATCAGAATATGTATGTTAAATATATCGCTGAATGATCATGGAACAGTTTAATTTAATAAATGAT